GGGGAATAGGGAGGGGGTGTGGGTAAGAGTAAGAGGAGGAAGGGGGAGGGGAATCGGGGAGGGGAAGAAGGGAGGGGGAAGAAGAGAAACTGGGGAAGGGAGAGAGGAGGGGGGGGGGGGTGCAGGTTGTGTTGAAGCAGATCGGGAGGGAGAGGAAGAGGAAGAGGGGAGGAGATGAAGCTATGGGGAGGGAGAAAGGAATTGAGAAATGGGAGGGAGAATAAGCTGGGGGAAGGGAGAAGGGAGAGGGGAAGAAGGCAGATATACAGAAGGGCAGGGAGAGGGGGGGGGAGGGGAAGGTAGTGAGGAAAGGGGAAAATGGAGGCGGAGAAAATTCATAGTATTCCCAAGAGGATCGGTAAAAGGGTACGAGGGAAGGGGGAGAGTGGGGCAGAGGGAATAACGTGGGAGAAGGGAGAAAGGGAGAGATATAAAAGGAGAGAGGGATGAGGAATGGGGGGAAAGCGGGAGAAGGGAGACAGGAGAGAAGAAAAGGAGGGGGGGGGGGAGAGTAGGGGAAAGGTGAGAGTGGGGAAGAGGGGAGAAAATGGGAGAAGAGACAGGAGAGAAGAAAGGGAGGGGAAGGGGAGGAAGGGAGAGAGCATGGTGTAAGAAAGGGGGGGGGGGGCAGAAGGAGATAGGTAACCGGGAGATTGGAAAGGCATCAGGCCAGGGAGAAGGGGATAGGGATAGGGTGAAGAGTGGGGGCCGGTGGGGGGGGGCGGGGAATAGAGAGAGAAATGGACTAAAAGAGACATTTGGAACGTTGACCGTTCAGTAAATTTAATGTTATGGAAACGACAAGTCCAGTTTGCTGGCCGCTTTCTCTTCTTTCTTTTGACCGCTGCCCCCCCCCCCCCCCCTCTCCCTGTCTGCCCTCTCTCTCGTTGTTTCATTTTTCTGTGTGCGTGAGTGAGCGAGTGTGAGTGTGCGTGTGTCTGTTTATCCATCTGTCTGTCTGTATCCCTCCTTCCTAACTGCTCTCCCTCTCCCTTTCCCTCTCCCTCTCCCTCTCCCTCTCCCTCTCCCTTTCCCTTTCCCTCTCCCTCTCCCTCTCCCTCTCTCTCTCCCTCTCCCTCTCCCTCTTCCTCTCCCCCTCCCTCCCTCTTTCCATCCCTCTTTCCCTCTTTCCCTCTTTCCCTCTCTCCCTCTCTCTCTCTCCTTCCCTCCCTCTTCAACCGTTCTTCAAAGCAATACATTTTCGTAAATTATAGGCAATATAATACAACCGTTAATGAGATTGTAATTATAGGGAGTTTGGGAACATGAAAATCATCGGTAGGTCTATATTCTGGAAGTAATTAAACGGAGGCGGTCATGCTGGGCCCAATAAATACCTTTGTGATTAATGTGTCATATGCTTAACAAGATATTGCAAATAACCGCCGATTTTTCGTTGTGAATTAATTAATTTCCTGTTTCTTTCCGCTTTTCTTTTTCATTTATCAGATATTATCGTTTTTTATATGTATTATCCATTGGTTTCCTCCCTTCCTCATTAACGGTTTAATTGTTCTCTCTCTCTCTTTCTCTTTTTCTTCCGTTAATCCCTTCCTTTGCTTGTCTCTGTCTTTCTGCACTTGCCCGGTTTTGCTCTGCCTCTATTTCTCTTTCTTTGTCTTGTATTATTCTTATTGTTACTGTTGTTATTTTGCGACTGTGATTATTAATGTTTTATCGTTACCATTATTATTTAGATTGTTATTATTGTTACAGTATTTATATCACTGTTACCAGTATTACATATTACTGCCTTGTTACTCTCATTGTTGTTATCATTTAAGATATTGTTATGATCGTTATCAACATTACCAACATACCGTAATTACAATCTAAGATATTACTATTATCATTATTATCAACTTGCCTTGCAGGTTTCATCTGGCATTTTAACTATTGCTCTCGCTGTCATCATAATTACCGATGCGACCAATTAGCACATTTCGCTAGCACGGCGATCACTGTCGCCGCAATTATTACAGTTATTCCTGCCTTCAAATTGGCTGTCGACTTCACTGCAGGCATCGCCAGCCTCGTCAGAGCTATCACTATGCGCACACTCACCCCCTTTCACATCACCACAATCACCCCCCCCCCCACTCACCACAATCACCATTCCCCCTCACGCACCACAATCACCATCCCCCCCACTCACCACAATCACCATCCCCCCCACTCACCACAATCACCATTCCCCCTCACGCACCACAATCACCATACCCCCCACGCACCACAATCACCATCCCCCCCACTCACCACAATCACCATTCCCCCTCACCCACCACAATCACCATCCCCCCCACGCACCACAATCACCATCCCCCCACTCACACAATCACCATTCCCCCTCACGCCCACAATCACCATCCCCCCCCCTCACCACAATCACCATCCCCCCCACTCACCACAATCACCATTCCCCCTCACGCACCACAATCATCATCCCCCCCACTCACCACAATCACCCCCACCCCAGCCCCTGACCGTGCCCTCCCCCCAGGCATGCAAACGTGCGAGTGGTACCCGCCGTGGCTGTGGATCCTGTGCATCGTGCTGGCCGTGCTCTTCATCATCATGATGATCATCAACATCTTCCTGTGCTCCGCCATGACCTGCTCCTGCACCAAGACGGAGGTCATCGAGAAGGAGCCGTCCATCATCGAGGAATACGACCCCTACAGGTCGTGGCACGGCTCGCAGTACGGCTCCAGGTCAGGCTTTTTCTCGGTTTCTTTGTCTTTTTATCTTGTTTTAAAGCTCTTTAGTTTGGAGGTTTCTTTTTTCTCTTTTTCGTTTTATGATAATTTTGATTTGTGTTTATATTGTGTTGTTTGTTTCTGCTTTGTGTGTTTGATTGTTTGTAAAATGAAGGTGAGGCTTACTTTGCTTGTTTGGCTCTTTGGTTTCTGCGAGCATGTGTGTTTGCTTGCGTGTGTGCGTGCGTACGTGTCACCCCCTTTGTATGTATGTTTGCGTGTGCGTTTGTGTGTTTCTGGAAAATGGCGTGTGATGGAAGAGGTATTGCCATGGCCGAAAGAAAGCAATTGCAAGACTGAAATTATTTACAATTATGGTTATTGCTCGCATTTCAAACGCATTGGATTGCAAATGCATCGATTGCTTTCGTATTCAATGTGTGTGTGTGTGTGCGTGCGTGCGTGTGTGTGTGTGTGTGTGTGTGTGTGTGTGTGTGTGTGTGTGTGTGTGTGTGTGTGTGTGTGTGCGTGTGCGTGTGTGCGTGTGTGCGCGCGCGCGTGTGCACACACTTTCACTTAAACTCTTCTTTCTTTATTCCTTACATAAATACATGTATGTATGTATGTATCTATGTGCGTACGTATGTATGTATAAATGCAAATATCCCAACGTTTATCGAATTAAGAGCGAACGGTTATTGGGACAGAACTTTCCTCCAATGACGGACCGATAAACCGATACATGCATATTTGCGCATCGGTATAAACACACTTATATTTCCAAGCAAAAAGGCCACGAGCTGTTCCCCGGCCGCCTGTCCTTGTCCTTCGTTGTCCTGAGGATTATTCTCTGTTTCAACGCTAGAAGGATAAGTGTAGAATGATAAATAAGGGGAAGAAGGAAATATAAGAAGGAATATCGGGCGCCATTTATATCTCTTTATGCTAATAATGGTATCTTTCTGCTTTTCCTTTTCTGTCTTCTCCTCCTCCTCCTCTCCCGCCTTCTCCCTCCCTTTTGTCTCTCCCTCTCTCTCTCTCTCTCTCTCTCTCTCTCTCTCTCTCTCTCTCTCTCTCTCTCTCTCTCTCTCTCTCTCTCTCTCTCTCTCTCGCTCTCTTTCGCTCTCTTTCGCTCTCTTTCGCTCTCTCTCTCTCTCTCTCTCTCTCTCTCTCTCTCTCTCTCTCTCTCTCTCTCTCTCTCTCTCTCTCTCTCTCTCTCTCTCGCTCTCTTTCGCTCTCTTTCGCTCTCTTTCGCTCTTTCGCTCTCTCTCTCTCTCTCTCTCTCTCTCTCTCTCTCTCTCTCTCTCTCTCTCTCTCTCTCTCTCTCTCTCTCTCTCTCTCTCTCTCGCTCTCTTTCGCTCTCTTTCGCTCTCTTTCGCTCTCTCTCTCTCTCTCTCTCTCTCTCTCTCTCTCTCTCTCTCTCTCTCTCTCTCTCTCTCTCTCTCTCTCTCTTTCGCTCTTTCGCTCTTTCGCTCTTTCGCTCTCTCTCTCTCTCTCTCTCTCTCTCTCTCTCTCTCTCTCTCTCTCTCTCTCTCTCTCTCTCTCTCTCTCTCTCTCTCTCTTTATCTCTCTCTCTCTTTCTTTCTCTTCTCCCCACTCTCCCTCTCCCCCCCTCCCTATTCCCCTCCCCCGTCCCTCAGGCTAGGCTTTGTAAAATACAAAACCCTATTATGTTAGACTTTTGTGAATATAAGTTTGTTTGCGGAAAAGAAAACGGGAAAGAAAGCGTTTAGGGATACTATTTTTTTTCTTTTTTTATCTAACACGTTTTCTATGATTTAATTGTTTCGTCTTCTTTGCGACGCGTTTTCTTTGCTTGGAATTAAAAAAAGACGTGTTTATGTTAACGGTTGTCATTATCCGTTTATCCCGTTATTATGAGATAATTTTCCTTTATGTATATCCAATTTCATGTTTATGGCATGATTATTATAATTTCTCGGTTTAAGCTGCTTAATTTGCGAGACTAAATATTTAAAATTCACTCGTGATTTTAATCTGGATGATAAATATTAGAATTAACTAGATTTACTCTACTTTTTCTCAATAGTTCATTCGAAAATGGAATACACACATTTTCTTTTCAAACATCTTCCACATTTTTTTCTTTTTTTCCTTCGTTAAAGAACCAACGAAGTTAAACTAAAAGAAAACGGATTGTTTATTTCATATTTTTTCGCATTTATATTCTCTCGTCTTGTATTTTCTGTATCTCTTCGTTATCGTCCCTTTCTTTTGCTATTATTATTTCATTACATTCAAGATTTATTTGCATCGTTACGAAATACGCATTCTTTATTTCCACACGTGAATTTAGGCTTATTTACATACGTTCGTTTGTTGAAGTAGCCTTAGTTATTTATGTAAATAGTCATCTGCTAACGGCCATTGCTAATGATATAAGGGAAGGGGAGGGGGAGGGGGGTAAGGAGGGTAGGGAAGGGGAAGGGGGGTAGGGAGGGGCTAGGGACGAAAAGGAAGGAATAAGGAAATGAATAAATGGGGTTAGGAAGGGCAGGGGTGGGGAAGGGGGAGGGGGGGAAAGGAGGAACAGCGAGGGAAAGGGAGAGAGTAAAGAGAGTGAGAGGGAGAGGGGAAGAAAAGAGGTAGAAAGCATGGGAAGTGGATAGAGCGGTTGACACTAAAAGTATAAGAGGGAAAGAGACGAGAACAAGGGAGGGGGGAAGGAGGAAGGGAAGGCAAGGGGGGGGGGCAGGTTAATAAGGACGGGCTGACTGGGGGTACAGAGGGGGGAGGGGGAAGGGGGGAAGGGGAATGCTGACACTAAAACCACGTCAGCGTAAAATAGGAATTTCCTTCATAAAAATGTCCCTTAATAGCGGCCGTCGTAGGCAGGCGCCCGATCTACGTCATCCCGACGTTCGCTTCCGCCATGGACCGTCGGGCGCGCTTTTTAAATAGAGCTTTCTCTGTTTAATCGCGTCGTTAGGCCATTTCTCCTTTTTTTCCAAAGATCAGAAACAGATGTCCGGTGCCCTTTCTTGTGTTTGTCGGATATATCGATCTCAATAATTCACAATTGTGACTCGACCCCCGGACAGGTATATCGAGTATAAATGCCATAAACAAAATCGTATCGGTAATGTTGCGTGAAGGAGGATCGCCTTCCTGGCACGCGTCCAAGGGTCAGATTCGATGGTTTAGATGCTCTTTTGTTTGTTATAAGTACTGGACTTTGGAGTTGATTCTCTTTCCTGCCTCCGTTTTCTATAGAGAGATCGTGGTCTTTGAGAGCTTATAGTCATGTGGAAAATTATGTGTGTGTGTGTGTGTGTGTGTGTGCGTGCTTGTGTGTGTGTGTATGTGTGTGTGTGTGTGTGCGTGCGTGTGCGTGTGCGTGTGTGTGTGTGTGTGTGCGTGTGCGTGTGCGTGTGCGTGCGTGCGTGCGTGCGTGCGTGCGTTTGTGTGTGCGTGTGTGCGTGTGTGTGTGTGTGTGTTTGTTTTTATGGCTACATATGCTTACATCCACACCCAGACACAGACACACACCCTATCATCTCTCTCAAGGTAAAAAACAGAAAACGCATCAAGCTCCATTTATCCTTGCGGTGATATAAGGAAGGGGAGCGAGGCTTCGGGTGTCATCTTGATAGGGGGGGGGGGAGAAGGAGAGGGAGAGGGAGAGGAGGCGAGAGATGGGAATGGAGATAGGGAAAGGGAGAAAGTAAGAGGGAGAGGGAGAGGAAAGGAGAGAAGGAGAGAGAGAGATAGGAATGGAGATAGGGAAAGGGAGAGAGTAAGAGAGAGAGAGAAGGATAGACAGGTAGATAGACAGAAAGATATAGATAGAGATATAGCTTCTGAGATGGGGAGATATAGTTAAATATATAGCGATATATAGAGATAATTGAATAGGTTTACTCTGATAGAGATTGCTAGATAGAGATATGTAAATAAATGTAAATAGATAGACAGATAGATAGATAGACAGACATATAGATAGACGGATAGATGAATAGATAAACATAGATAGACGGATAGATAAATAGATAGATAGACAGAGAGAGAGCGCAAACTCCAGCGTGACTGCTTTCCATTATTCCCTCTCTGTATGGATGAGCGGCCTAGGCGCCGATAGGCCCAGGGAAGATTTGCAGCTCCTCGTGATGGCTGGGACTCGTGAGGAGAGTTGTGATGAAAAACGTGCCGAATACCTTGGCTTCTCGTCTGTTGTTTTATTCATATCAGTGTCTGTATTATTTTCTCTTGCTTTTGTTTTGTATACTTTTGTTTTCTGTTGTTGTTTTTTGTATAATATGGGAAGTTCTTGATTTAAAAAAAATAATATATATTTTTTTATTTTGGCTTTCCTTATGTTTGTTAGTTATGTATATGTTTAGAGTGGGTGTGATCTCTTTTCCCCAACACGCACAGAATCGGGAATATGTTATTCGCAATATCCTCTCCAGCGCTTACATCTTTAATTTAATCGACGCTGCTCTACATCCATCTAACGCACAATATTATATTTCTTCCTATAATTTCTTATCCACGTAATCCAGCTCGTGTTGAAACGGCCACACAGGATTACTGAGTAACCTACGTCTCTTAATAACGTATTTTGACACATAACGTCCAGAGCGTTACTTGTTTTCTCGTGCCGGGTTTGTGTGCTTCTGGGTGAATGGCTGCCTCGTTTTATCTTTTGCTGTTTTTAGGTCGTGGATATCATTTCGTCGTGTTTCTGTTTTATCTCTCCTCTTCCTGTTGGGTTTCTGTTTTATCTTTCCTCTTCTCGTTGGGTTTCTGTTTTGAATTCATCTGTGAGGAGTGTTACTGATCATCGGTATTGCATGTCGTGGTGAGAATAGTATATAACAGTGATGAGGTTAAGATAATTTCACTAATGATAACTTTACTTAATTTACTTTACTTAATGATAGTTTTAGTAATGATAATTGTACTATGATAATTTATTATTTGGTTTAACGTTATTACAATTTACAAAGTTCACACAGAGTGTTACATACTCATCTTTACATTACATCTCTTCCTCTACAACACGATTTTATTTACATAGATTTCCAGCTCCACGATTTAACGCCTGCTCTGCAAACCCCTTACTCACATCATCCATTTACACGCATTTCCTTTTTTCCACGATTTAATTCAGGCCCACGCCCACTCCCACCGGCTCTTTAAACCTCTGTACCCCCCCCCCCCCCTCGCTCCGCCCCAACTAACGCCTCCTCTCTCTCCCCCCCTACAGGTACTCGCTGAACGGCAAGGGCTACACCTCCGGCGCCTCCACCATGAACTCCGCCCGCTCCGTCTCGTCCCACAGCGACCACTACGCCATCGTCCACTCCCGCCCCAACTCCCGCTACTCCGGCCACCACTCCCTCAAGCACGACAAGCACCACCACCACCACCGCGGGCCGCCCTCGACGACCGGCAGTCACTACTCCGGGAAGTACTGAGGCGGAGGGGCAGGTGGCGCGGTCGGCCTCACGTCTGTCTGTCGGTGGAGGCGTTTATTTCGAAGGAGGAGTGGGCTGGATCTTTTTTTTTGACTCAGAGAGAGATTTAGGATTTTTTTTTTTTGCGTTTCTTGTCTTCTTTTCCCTTGTCATTATTTTAGTCGATGATGGGAATAAGAAAATGATTTATTATCTTTTTAAAAAATCAGCCTTCTTCTCTTCCACGCCCGCCTCCTGCGAAGAAAAAATTAGGAAAACAAACGATTAAGCGATATTGGAATCTTTGGTGAAAAATTATGTGCTCTTTTTTCCGGGGAAGGAAGAATTCGACCGACGTTTCCCGCTGTCCCGTCTGCTCAACAGATGGCGACACTGAAAACAAAATGGCGGCACCTTGCGCGGGAAGTTCAAATACGCCGGGAGACCCTTCATCCTCTTGAGTTCCCGGGAAATCGAAGCCGTTACATAAATAATGACTTTTTATTAGACCTCCAACATCATCCCCGCCACCAAATCCCCGACGGCCCGCCCTGGCTGCGCCCGGAGACCCAAGAGGCTGCCAGCCGGAGCCGCGACCCCTATCTTTCATAATTGCTTATTGGAAATTCATTTGGCCAAGGCTGGGATGGAGGCCGGGCTGCTGAGTACGGAATGTCTTGGGAATGCAAACCGAAGAACTTTTATTCATAGAAAAACACTCCCTCTAGCTGACATTTCAAAGAAAAAAGAAAAAGCAGCAGAGAAAATGAGGAAGCACACAATAGGCCGTTTCCCGAAATCCCAGAAATGTTGTTTGTCCCGCCATTAACCAGCCACTACTCTCGAGCCAAACAAACAGCGCAAACACGGAATCCAACTCAGTAGATTTGTGAGTATGCCTTTCCAGCCACACCTGAGCAGCCGACATTATGCCACAGGTTTCCAGGTGCGTCCATTATGCAGCGCAGCCCATCCGCCATGAAACTCCCGCGAGGCAGGCGGCCAGTTTAGCGTTTCCCTTCGCTAAGCTCGTCCGTGCGCTGAAAATGGAGCTGGATTGACGTGCACGGTCGGAAAAGGACACCCAAATCCTTCATATATATATATATATATATATATATATATATATATATATATATATATATATAAATATATAAATATATAAATATATAAATATATATATATATATATATATATATATATATATATATATATATATATATATATATATATATGCTATAGGCCTTTATATATATATAGGGCCATACATATATATATATATGTATGTATGGCTATATAATATGAATTTATGGTGAACGCATAATAGGCCTTGGATGAATTTAGCTGAGTCCCGCAACAAAAATCGGAATTAGAAAACGGAATTTGAATCGCGGAGGCCAACGGGTCGCGCGCACAGCCGTGGAAAACGGGCGGCCGGTCGGCGGCTGGTGGCTCGTTCAGTCGAAGCCAAACGCCTTGTCGGTCTCGGACACTTCGCCTCCATTCACGCCGGTCACAGGTTGTAAGCGAGCTCTCGGGTCGAATGCGAGGGCTGTGGCCGACTGACCTCGGCGTCTGCGCTCCGAAAAAGGGAGGTTGTTGGAGACGAGGATTAAGGGTGGTAGCGAGGAAATAGGAAGCAGAAGCTGGAATCGAACTAACCCCAAACTTTAGATGTAATTTGCTCGATAATAATTGTATGTTACATTTGCTGCAATCAGTGGAATAACAAGCACATTAACCATGTAATCATCCGGGGATTAATGGATGATTTTGTTTTCAATACTTTGTTTTTTGCTATTATTATTTTTTTTTTACGTAGGATACCGCGGTGATGTTAGAAGGGCAAATGGCATAGGCTTTTATTTGTTCGCATTAGAAGTT